ATCATTGTTGTTTTGGCGGGCCCGGGCTGGGGATTGGAACCTGCCACCTTAGGTGTATGTGGCTGGCGCCTTAGCCGCTTGAGCCACAGGCGCCAAGCCTCTATATATTTTCAATCTGCAGTTGGATATAGAACCCATGGATACAGAGGACCACTTCTATTGTAAGTTTTAAGATTTTGTATCCCTTTTACACACAAGTTAGAAAATAAAGGTGTAAATTTATTATAAAAAACCAGGTTATAAAATATGATGTCTATATCCTGTGCCACACAATGATATTTTGGTCAATAAGGGAGTGATGGTGGTCTCATGAAATTATAACAAGGATGAAAAATTCCAGTCCTCTAGTGATAGCCATCATCATGTCACAGCACAATGCATTACTCCATGTCTGTGGTGATGCTGGTGACCGATTGCTCTGCTAGTTGTATAAAAGTGTAGCATGTACAATTACGCACACTACCTAATACTTGGGAATGATAATAAATGACTATGCTACTGCTTTATGTATTTATTATACTATACTTTTTGTCATTATTTTAGAGTGCACTCCTCCTACTTATTAAAAAAGTTAATTGTCCAACAGCTTCAGGCCGGTCTTTTAGGAGGTATTCTAGAAGAAGGCATTGTTATCAAGGGAGAAGACAGCTCCATGTCTGTTACTGACCCAAAGACCTTCCATTGAGACATAACTTGGGGATAGAAGACAGAGGTACTGATGATCCTGACCTGTGTAGGCCTAGGATAATGTGTGTGTGTGTGTGTGTGTGTATGTTCACCTTCGTTTGTAACAGAAAACTTTAAAAAGAAAACAATAGGCTTGGTGCCTATAGCTCAAGCGGCTAAGGTGCCAGCCACATACACCAGAGCTGGCGGGTTCAGGCCTGCCAAACAACAACGACAACTAAGACCAAAAAATAGCCAGGCGTTGTGGCAGGCGCCTGTAGTCCCACCTACTTGGGAGGCTGAGGCAAGAGAATCACTTAAGCCCAGGAGTTGGAGGTTGCTGTGAGCTGTGATGCCACAGCAGCACTCTACCTAGGGTGACAGCTTGAGGCTCTGTCTCAAAAAAAAAAAAAAAAAAAACAGAAAAAAGCTTATAGAATAAATATATAAAGAAAGAAGATATTTGCATAGAGCTCTACAACATGTATTTTAAACTATTGTTACAAAAGAATCAAAAAATTAAACTTATAGTATGCTAATTATTAAAGAAAGAATTTTTTTATAAATTTAGTGTAGCCTATGTGTATAGTGCTCATAAAATCTATATTCGTGTCTAGTAATATCCTAAGTTTTCACATTCACTCACTATTCACTCACTCACAGCAACTTCCAGTCCTGCAGGCCCCATCTTGGTAAGTGCCCTACACAGGTGTGCCATTTTTGATCTTTTTAACTGTGTTTTTACCGTCCTTTTTCTATGTCTAGATAGATACACAAACACTTAGGATTGTGCTGCAATAGCCTGCAGCATTCAGTACAATAACATGCTGTATCGGTTTGCATCCTAGGAGCAATAGGCTATCCCATACAGCCTAGGTGTGCAGTAGGGTACACCCTGCGGGTTTCTGTGAGTACAGTCTATGCTATTTACACAACAATGAAGTCATCTAAGGCCACATTTCTCAAAATGTATCCCTGTTGTTAAGCTATGTGCGACTGAAATATTCCTTTAGGTAACATATGCTAATAATATGCTTTTTATAAAGACATTATGCTGAAGAGTGTTCACTGCAGTCTGCTAGTTCCTCCCCATCACCACATCCTTTTTCATCCAGTTTTTTTGAATGAAATGTATTGTACAGGCTCGGCACCCGTAGCATAGTGGTTACAGCGCCAGCCACATGCACCAAGGTTGGTAGGTTCGAACCTCATCAGGGCCAGCTAAACAACAATGATAACTGCACCAAAAATAAATGAATAACTGGGTGTTGTGGCGGGCACCTGTAGTCCCAGCTATTCAGGAGGCTGAGGCAAGAGAATCACTTAAGCCCAACAGTTTAAGGTTACTGTGAGCTGTGATGCCATAGCACTCTACTGAGGGGGACATAGTGAGACTCTGTCTAAAAAAAAAAAAATAGAAAAACTGAGGCAAGAGGATTGTTTGAGTCCAAGGTGGAGGTTGCTCTGAGCTATGATGCCACCCACAGCACTTTACGCAGGGCGGTAGCTTGAAACTCCATCTCAAAAAAAAAAAAAAGAAAGAAATGTATCGTACATATAGAAAAGTAAAAGAACAGTAATAGGTCATACGTGAATAAATCATAAGCCTATGAGTTTTTTACAAAGTAACTATAGGCATGTAACCACCAATCAGATCTGCTGTGTCATTTTTATTACAGAAAAAAACAGAAGTAATGACAAAAGACTAAACAAACTATAATTCAGCGACATATGGAATGTTATTTATCCATTAAAATGATAGTTATTACAACTATGAAATCATAGAAAAACAACATAGGAAATGATGTTAAAGTCTTCAGACAGGAATACAACTCACGCTTACGATCATCCATTGTACCCTGGGTATGTCTCCTAAAGAAATGCATGGTTATCTGCCTCCCAGGACACATGGCCAGACATTATTTGTAATATCTTCAACTTGGAAACAATCCAAATGCCCACTAGTGCATAGATAAATTGTGGGAGAGTCATATAATAGAATCGTATACAATGCGACATATATAATAGAATCGTATAAAAATCCAGCTGCAGCTCTACACAAAAGCAGGAGCGAATCTTACAAACAGAATGTTGAATTTTAAAAAGCAAGGCACAAAAGAAAACACACAGTGTAAGTCCATTTCGATCAAGTAGAAACAAAATTAAGTGCCTGGTGTAGGGGTGCATAGATGTTTGGCAAGGGTTTAGGTGGTAAATTTTATCAAGAAACAAGGAGATTGGCTACCATAAAATCACAACAGCGGTGGCTTTAGTAAGGGTAGAGAAGAAATTGGCGGGAGCTTCCAGCGATGTTTTACTTCTTGGGTAGTAGTTACATTGCCAACCGCTTTTGAACTATTTGCTAAACTATACACAGAAGTTTGTAGTGCTTTTCTGTATGTACATTAGACTCCATGATTGAAATATTTAAAATAACACAAGAGAAATACAATAAAGAAATGCCAATAAAGTTCTAGTGGCTAAGAAGTAGTTTGCAGGAGTTTTCTCCCTTGTTTCCATGGCTCATTTCTCACATCCTTTTGTTTAAAAGGATATTGCCTTTCAAACAAACTTTGGAAACTAAAGAAAGTAGTTCTGGCATTGCTAGTGGTCTGTCTTCTCTCTCCATACATTTAAAAATAATTTATACCGATTTTATTTTTGTCAAACCAATCATTACAACACATATGAACAAAATTAAAATTTAATTTATCAATGAGCCCTTTTCATCAAAGGCTATCACTGAGATGATAAACAAGACAAATCTGTTCCACTTGAGAACATGTCCCCATTTCATTGGAAATGCCTGTGAGAAACAGGAACCTGGGTGGTGGTTCCTGTTTGTTTCTTCCCTTGATGTTAGATTTGTTCCTAGATCTAAAATCAGTGGAAAGACACGAATTTGCGTCATCCAAAAACATTTTCTTTTTTTGAGACTGAGTCTCATTGGGTCACCCTGGGTAGAGTGCCATGATGTCATCAGAGCTCACAGCAACCTCTAACTCTTGCAATACTCTTGCCTCAGCCTCCTGAGCAGCTGGGACTACTGGTACCTACCACAACACCTGACTAGTTTCTTCTATTTTTTTAGTAGAGACAGGGTCTTGCTCTTGCTTAGGCTGGTCTCCAACTCCTGAGCTCAGATGATCCATTGGCCTTGGCCTCCTAGAGTGCTAGGATTACAGGCATGAGCCACCATGCCTGGCCTGT